AGCTCGTAGTTTCATTAAAATAAAGAAAGCTTCACTGGAGCATCCCAGTCAGAGTTCAGATATAAGCACTGAACTAAAGAAGCAGGTCCGATAATTATTTAATCGGCTCTGATTAAACAACAACTTCCGATTCGATGTGCAAAATGTAGCATCCATGCTAGCTCTGTAAACAAACAAGCCGGCTGATGAGACGTCACGTCTTTTACTGCGCATGCGTGTCACATCAGTGCTGTGTAGCGTTCACACAGGAGTCTGATACAGGTCACATTTAAAATGTAATGTGAACGTTCACACAAAAAGATTGGATTTTTTCAAAAAATCTGAACTGAGCAATAAGACCTGCAGTGTGAACGTAGCCAAAGTGACTGCAGTGTGAACACTCATGCCACATTCCTTCTGACTTTTTCATCAGGAGGAGGGAGTGAAGGATCGATAAGACACTAACCTCAAGTCTCGCTGTTTAAATCTGTAGCTCCATGYGTTTACAGCTCCAAAACACAAGTCCACTTGCTCCGTCTTTTTACTTTTCATTTTCCACGTAGATAGTTTGATAATAACGATGTCCAGCCTGGGTCGCGGAGAGTATCGATCCTAAAGTTAGCTACTTTAGGATCTAAACAAGTCAGCTTTTGCAAAAAATTTTCTTAGCTGAATTAACAGCAAAAAAAAAAGGGGGGGGGGGGTAAATGGAAGCTAAGGTAAACCATGGACATGTGTCAAAGATTTAGCCTTATTGCATAGTTCATGATCTTTTTCTCCAAACTAAATAATAGAAACTGTAAGTCATTGCAATTCTGTTTTTAAATAAATCAGGTTATCTATTTGCCAATAGCATTGTTATGACTGAAAGCAATGGAACCAGAGTCAATTTTTTCTTTTTTTTTTTGTGTAAACAAGACTTCAACTTGAAATATGAACCAAACTTTGAAGTCATTTCCATATGTCTTGTTTTTCTGTTTGTAAGATGAAGGAGAAGCAGTGATTTGTGGATGTGCTTCTTGACAAGCATAAGTGAGCCTTTTCANACTCTAAATATATGTTGTTGTATTAAAACAAACATAGAAGTTGATGTTTGTGTTTTGTGCCATCTGACATAAGGTCAGTCTCACTAACTGACAATCCCAAAGAATGTCTTAATGTGTGGTTCAGTCACAAATGTGGGCTCAAATTGCCAGTAAAGCTTTGTGGAACTCCTTAGCCAGCACAGTCTGTAGACCATGAGCTACACATAGCAGTTTTCTTGTGCCTCTGATATCTTATTTAAATGTTTATTAATCGTATGTGTAATAGATTTTTTCATTGTAAATATTTATCMTAAAGTGTCAACATTTTCTAAAACACTATATTTGTAACTGTGTTTACCCAAATAATGGTCTTATTATCTTGGGAGTCATCCACCTCTTCATGTCCACAGATGCAGCAGATAGATGTCAAGTCATCTGTAAGGGTGAAAATGTTTAGAAACTAATTGACCACTTTGTGAACATTGTTACAGTCAAGACTGAAGTTGGGTATGTACTGAAGTCAATACACTGAGGTACAAATGTGTGCTTTTGTACACATTTGTACAATGTGTACAATACTCTTCAGCATTTCTTCCTGTTTGCTAAAATTAAACCTGTAGAGACTCAGACTGTTATAGCCTGATTTCAGAGTCTCGGATGGACTGGCGCTGGACATTGCAATCACTTTAGAGATCAGTTCTTTGGAATTCTTAACAAACGCAGCCATGTCGAGCTCCTCCATGCTGCTCTCCACGCTTGACAACAGCTTTCTGTTGGCCTCCATGCTATCACCATAGCAACGCATCAGCATCTGGGTGTGGTTAAACTGTAAAGCACAGATTTTTTTTTTATATTTCTTATAAAAGCTACTTTTGTTAATCACCTGAGGCCTCCAAGAGAATCACTGAAATCTGCCAACGTAGCATTTCCACATCCTTGGGTCCAGCAGGAAAAACAGGCTGTTGTCCCATCAGAACTTTTTCAACAAACTGAAATACAAGCAACAAACACATAATGCAAGACATATCTCAGGATGATATAAGAGTAAATTTTTTAAKACCTTTATGGCAAACACTCCACAGGAATTTGAGTCAGGTTGCAGGGGATGTGGAAGTGTGGTGCATTCCCATCTTGACACATTCATGCCCTGATTCCTCAGAAAAGCTCTAAAGACATCAAGGTATTAGCACTTAACTACTTTAAAAAATGCTTTACTCCTGTTAAGTTCACGAAAAAGGGTGTGCTCACTTTGACATATAAGTTTTTAAAACAAACTTATTTTGATATTGCGTTCCTTTCCAACTTCCCACAAAGATAAGCATACATCATAGACATTTACTTGTGAATAGGATTTTGGCAATGAGAAAAATGTATTGTTATTGGCTTATATGATATTGAGTCACTGATATAAAATTAAGAAAATATAACAATTACGTCTTTCTCAACAAAAAAAAGAAGAATATAGTTTTGTTATAAAAATAAAATTTAACACATACCTTGATATATCTTGGCATTTCCTCAACTTCTGACTACCTTCCCCAAGTGAGTCCAGAAGAAGAGATTTTCTCTGTTTTGGATATATAATCTTGAAAGACAACAGCAGATATGATTAGTTTAACAGCCTTGTACTGCTGTAAAGGCACATGAATGTATGGTACTTGAATTGAAAAATTCAACACATATGATGTGGAGTCACATGTATTGAAAATTTAATCAAAGTTTCACTTACACTTTAGATTGCATATTTAAACTTAGATTAAAAACTTTAATTTTTATAAAGTTAGATTAAAGCAAAGGGATTGGAGATGAAATGCATATTCAATGATATGTAAACACTTACAACAGCAAACCAGTGATGGTTGTCATTAACAATGCCGTATAAAGTTTTGTAGTCTGTGGGATCCCACTGAAGGAATAGAAGAATTGATATCAGAATCTTGCCACCTTTCRAGGCTGCTGTCAGACATTTAAAACTACAAACCTTGAAGYGTGGAAATTTCTTATGCCACACATCAGTCATGGCAAAAGAGTCAATACACATGACTTTCTCGGCAGAGGATGTATTAAGTTTTTTCTCCAAAAGCTTCATGTAGGCATTGATCACCTGGATGAATGGATTGTTGCTTATTAACCAGCAGAATCATTTGATTGTCATAATATCCATCCAGTGAAGTAAGATTTCATAGGGGGGTAGCTAGGACAATTATGTCTTACCTCGCTCTCCAGTTCCCTTCCTGGTGCTGTTCGACATATGTCCGAGTAAAATAATTTATAAGGACCTATTTTGGACAGAATTATACCTGCTGTAGTGCCATCCCAGGCTTTCCGAATATCTAAAATAAGACATGAAAGAATTATACTTTTACATCTGAAAGTCTTCTGATAAACATGCACATATTAGTTTCTGAAAACTGTGTACAAAAGCATACATTGTTCTACTTTCGCACAGCCAGATAGTGTTCTCACACCAGGATCCATAGCTGCTTCCATACAATCAGAAGCAGAGTAAGGATCCACAACAGATGGAATGGTTGAGGCAGGATCTTCTACAGTTTGTGTGGTGATGTCTGGATCCACAACAGATGGAATGGTTGAGGCAGGATCTTCTGCAGTTTGTGTGGTGATGTCTGGATCCACAACAGATGGAATGGTGGTGAAGTCCTGTTTTTCTGTTTTTTTGAAGTTATGTAGAATTTTGGGTTCTGATTCCAGGAATATTTTCAGTTGGTCTGTGCTGATTTTTGGCAAAAAAGCTGTTTTTGATTGGAGGTCTGCACTTTTGTTGTTTATTTTTACTATTGTATAAGGACCGGTCCAGTTTTGTTCCAACTTCCCACCCTTTNCAGTGAAACCTACGTGCACCCTAGTGAGATCAGTTCCTCTCACCTTGCAGGTTTCAATTTTCCGGTAACCTCAAACTAACCATCTCTCTGTCATCTTCTCAGTGTGCATTCAAGCCTGTGAGCTCTTTTCTGAGCTCAGATCCTTACTCCCATTCCCTATTACTGTTTCAAAATAAACACAATTTATCTTATTTCTGTTCTCCTGTGGTTGTGTTCTGCATGTTGGTCAAGAACCTCACATTCACCATGTGACCATTGTTGTCGCCAATCTTATGTTTATTCTCCTTCTTTTCGAAATGAATGACCAGTTCAGTATCATTTTTAAGCATTATCTATATTTMCAACATAACAAAAACAAAGGAACATAAACAGATAATTGTTAGGCTAATATCAAAATTTAACAATGTATTAACTATTTACAAAAGTAAAATATTTATTTAACATTAGTTTAAAACTGAACAGATCGTGTGAAAATTTTTCTAACTGGTATAAACATAGGTTTTACAAGTGAAATTAAGAAATCATACAAACATGTTTATTTGAAAATGTAAAATAAATAAAATAAGTGCTGCACAGTACAAATGCAAAGCTATGAAAGAAAAGGTGTACTACTACGGTAATGTTTCATGTTTAGGCTCCTAACAGGCTTCACAAGTAAAAGTTGATGATGTGTCTGGACATCCCAAGCAAGCATGGTGAAACCACTTYGCGCACACATCACAGGATATCTGCAGAGCACAAAAGTTTAGATTCACTGTAATATATGTGTCATGTAGACAGCATATATCAAGTTTGAAGTACAATTTTTCACATAATATTTACAAATTTTAACACGTAACAGTTTATAAATATTCTTTGTACATGGCAGATTAAGAGTATTTAATAATCTTAAATTCTATTGTAATTGTAGTATTRATGGATACAGATTTCAAATGCAATTAAAATGACAGTGTCATTCTTAAGTTGCTATTATACCCCTACACTGTAGGATACCTTGGTTTTGCTCTTCCACCAGGGTTGCTATTCTTATTTGTAAATCTAAAACTTTTTTGAATTGATATGTAATAACGGGGTGAATCACTAGAACTGAGTCATCCGTTTACTGTTTTATTCAAGCAAAAGAGATTCAATAAATGCACAACATCACAGTCTATTTAAGTGCTTACTATGATACACCTTCAGGTCTTGTACATCTATAATGCTTCAACACAGACAAACATTGTTCTGTGCCAAGTCAAAAAATGCTTTGTGGCTCAACATATCCAAAAATATTTCAGAATCATCTGCCTTCTGTCCATYWACTCTAAATATATGTTGTTGTATTAAAACAAACATAGAAGTTGATGTTTGTGTTTTGTGCCATCTGACATAAGGTCAGTCTCACTAACTGACAATCCCAAAGAATGTCTTAATGTGTGGTTCAGTCACAAATGTGGGCTCAAATTGCCAGTAAAGCTTTGTGGAACTCCTTAGCCAGCACAGTCTGTAGACCATGAGCTACACATAGCAGTTTTCTTGTGCCTCTGATATCTTATTTAAATGTTTATTAATCGTATGTGTAATAGATTTTTTCATTGTAAATATTTATCCTAAAGTGTCAACATTTTCTAAAACACTATATTTGTAACTGTGTTTACCCAAATAATGGTCTTATTATCTTGGGAGTCATCCACCTCTTCATGTCCACAGATGCAGCAGATAGATGTCAAGTCATCTGTAAGGGTGAAAATGTTTAGAAACTAATTGACCACTTTGTGAACATTGTTACAGTCAAGACTGAAGTTGGGTATGTACTGAAGTCAATACACTGAGGTACAAATGTGTGCTTTTGTACACATTTGTACAATGTGTACAATACTCTTCAGCATTTCTTCCTGTTTGCTAAAATTAAACCTGTAGAGACTCAGACTGTTATAGCCTGATTTCAGAGTCTCGGATGGACTGGCGCTGGACATTGCAATCACTTTAGAGATCAGTTCTTTGGAATTCTTAACAAACGCAGCCATGTCGAGCTCCTCCATGCTGCTCTCCACGCTTGACAACAGCTTTCTGTTGGCCTCCATGCTATCACCATAGCAACGCATCAGCATCTGGGTGTGGTTAAACTGTAAAGCACAGATTTTTTTTTTATATTTCTTATAAAAGCTACTTTTGTTAATCACCTGAGGCCTCCAAGAGAATCACTGAAATCTGCCAACGTAGCATTTCCACATCCTTGGGTCCAGCAGGAAAAACAGGCTGTTGTCCCATCAGAACTTTTTCAACAAACTGAAATACAAGCAACAAACACATAATGCAAGACATATCTCAGGATGATATAAGAGTAAATTTTTTAAKACCTTTATGGCAAACACTCCACAGGAATTTGAGTCAGGTTGCAGGGGATGTGGAAGTGTGGTGCATTCCCATCTTGACACATTCATGCCCTGATTCCTCAGAAAAGCTCTAAAGACATCAAGGTATTAGCACTTAACTACTTTAAAAAATGCTTTACTCCTGTTAAGTTCACGAAAAAGGGTGTGCTCACTTTGACATATAAGTTTTTAAAACAAACTTATTTTGATATTGCGTTCCTTTCCAACTTCCCACAAAGATAAGCATACATCATAGACATTTACTTGTGAATAGGATTTTGGCAATTAGAAAAATGTATTGTTATTGGCTTATATGATATTGAGTCACTGATATAAAATTAAGAAAATATAACAATTACGTCTTTCTCAACAAAAAAAAGAAGAATATAGTTTTGTTATAAAAATAAAATTTAACACATACCTTGATATATCTTGGCATTTCCTCAACTTCTGACTACCTTCCCCAAGTGAGTCCAGAAGAAGAGATTTTCTCTGTTTTGGATATATAATCTTGAAAGACAACAGCAGATATGATTAGTTTAACAGCCTTGTACTGCTGTAAAGGCACATGAATGTATGGTACTTGAATTGAAAAATTCAACACATATGATGTGGAGTCACATGTATTGAAAATTTAATCAAAGTTTCACTTACACTTTAGATTGCATATTTAAACTTAGATTAAAAACTTTAATTTTTATAAAGTTAGATTAAAGCAAAGGGATTGGAGATGAAATGCATATTCAATGATATGTAAACACTTACAACAGCAAACCAGTGATGGTTGTCATTAACAATGCCGTATAAAGTTTTGTAGTCTGTGGGATCCCACTGAAGGAATAGAAGAATTGATATCAGAATCTTGCCACCTTTC